CATGGTGTGGTAAATATTTTTGTTTTAAACATTTTTATGAAGAGTATCATTATTGTACCGATTACAAACCATAACTTTTTAACTTATTTTCCGTGCGATTTGCAAAGTAGTCTAATATAATAAAATAACAGCTCAAGTAATGGTGTTGTTGTCGTCATGATTCGCTTATGTCACTGATTAGTTTTAATTACTCTTATCTTTTTTTTGTAGCTGTAAGTAAATACTACCTTGCTTAAATAATTGCATAAATATTATATTTGCATTATTTGTAATTTTATTAAAATCATTTTATTATATTACGTACTGTTATTATAGTTACCCTAAAAGATAATAATATAAATAAAAAATATTAATACAATTTTGTTGTTTTACTGTTTTATTTATAAGTTGTAAAGATGTATTCACTTCATGTTATGTATCGTATAATTAGATAATGTGAATAGTAAAGATTTATTTATTCTTTTTTCCGTTTTTCACCTTTTTTCCTTTCTGCGTTCTTGTTTCATATATATATATATAAAACCTGCAAAAAACTTCCATATCGCACAAATTTTAATTTATCAATGAATATTGCACATGTATTTCTAGTTATATTATTCTACAATAAAAATAGGAATAATTGACTGCATGTATGCGTCTTTCACTATTTCAGTCTTGAAACTAATTCACATTCAAATGCGTATTCAAATATTTCGCAAATATTGTCTGATAAGATAAATTTGATATTCTACATTCAAAATTTACTTTGTAAGTGTTGTCTAGCCGTGCGCGATAAAAACGATTCATAATTATACATTTGCAGAATGTTGCAAAAATAGATTTGCTTTTATCGTTATCCCTTGTTAAATGCAAAAATGCGATCAGAACGTGCTGCGTGAAGAATTGCTGCCTGCGCGCAGCGTAAACGAGTACAGATGATGTGCGTATAGAGACGTTTTTAATTATTTCTCAAAAATGATACTTTGAAAAATGACTTTATCACACGTGGTTGAATTCGTATTAAAATAATCTTTAATTTGATCATAAAACAATTTTTTTAATTAAAAAAAAATGAAGTGGGGAAAACATTAAAAAAAATAAAAAATAAATTTTTATTACTATTATAAAGTACACTTCAAGTCATTCAACTTTGATCTAGAATATTTTTTTCTATCACTCATAGTTTTGATGATATTCACGTCGGAAGAAAAAAACCGATTTTTTCAAGGGGTGATTTCATCCCTTCAAAACGGAATAGAGCACCAACTAAAAATAGTTTCGTACTACGGATGAACTGCTCTACTTTTACACAAAGTTTCAGATTTTTCAGAATTTTCGGATTCCCCTAACTTTCCTTGTCAGACAGAAAAAAAATCAATTATTTTTCAACAATATCACCCCCTTAACGTGCGACTCAACATTTATTTAAAAAATGCAAACCTTATTTTTGTCCATAATTCATAATTTAACCTTCAAATGGTACACTTCTTTCGATCCACTAATGGAACAATGGTGCGAATTTGGATTTGACAACTTAAATTGTACATCTTTCCTGAGGATAAAAACAGAAATGTTTTGAAAACCCCACTTTTTTGGGGTAAAATTTTCTCACAAATCC